AGAATTAGACTAGACGCTCATTATGTTTGAAAAGCATTTGGGGCCTACAATACATTCAAATTCATGCAAAAACTTTTCATTTTAAATCATCAAAAATGTATTGTTATTGCAAGCAGAAAAAAACAACAGTTTGATCAAAGTGTTAACATGAGAATCATGTCCATGGTGAGTGATGAATACTTCTCAGTGGAAAATATTGGAACCAGACGACAGAAAGTTTCACTTTTATGATGTTTATCTACTTGCGGCTCCAAAGCTTTCAAACTCCAGTAGTTTATTCTGCTGATTCAGTATTTCTGGGTGTGAATCAGCTTCTGTATGTGATGAACTAATAAATCTCACTCATCCAAAAAAAGCTGTTTATGTCTGTCATATTTTCAAAGAAAAAGAGAATAAATTTATTATTATAACAATTAGGATACCAGAAAATCTGGTTCTGATTATGATGAAGATTTACAAAGTCTCATTTAGATTAAGACTGAATAACTAAAAAGAAATTTGTGAGGATTTGAGTTTGTCTCATCTTAGCAGCTCCTCCGTCCTCCCCTCTTTAGCTCTATCAGTTCTTCAGGTGTGACCAGGTGGCTGTGAGGTGTCATGGGAAAGCCGTGACATGACAGCAGAGGCTTTGACCCATAGCTATGAAAACACAAACACTTCAGAGGACATTATATCAACTTCCTGCTGACTTCAACTCATCTTAAATGGATGTTTAAAAGCAGTCCACAACTTTTCTTTTAACTGCATTTTCATATGCAGGTTTCTTTCCATAAAATGACCCAAAATCGTATGTTTCAGAAATCTAGTTTTAAAAAAAGTGACTCGACTTACATAGATTGATTACAGCTTGAGATAAACTTTCTAAGTGTTTATTTCTGGTAACTTCAGCAATAATTAATTATTAGTCATCAACATCTTTCATTAGCTCCATTTGAGCAGAAGTATCAGACTGCCTTTTCTCTATAGTTTTATTTTATAATCTTTTTATGCTCTTTGTCCTTATTTAGTTTGTATGTTGGTGCTTTATTTAATTTTTGATTTTGTTTTTGTTTTTCTGTCATGTTATTGACCAAATCCCTTCGGTTCAGAAATGTCTTAACTGCGATGGATATAAAAAATGGACAGCAGTCCAAAGGTAAATGTAAACCTTGCATTTTAGTTGGAAGTCAATGTTGCTGAGGAGCAGCTGAGAGCTACAGAATCTAAGTTGATTGAAGTCCATAATGAAGTTGACACAAGAGTAATGATATGGGGTCATATATAAGACTTTATTTGTCCTCTGTGTTTGTTTAGGTTAAGCATTGCTGCTTATCAGACATTATAAAGCATGTCATGATTCCCTTTGTTGATTAGCTATATGCTACTAATTATCTAATTTTCTAGTAGGTGAACACTAACAAAAAGTATAGTTGCTTTAATCACCATGAGTAATACTATTTTAATTGATCAGCAAACCAACCTGAACAATTAAGAGGAAGATCAAAGAGCAAACAATGCAGAAGGAATAAAAGACTCAATGAAAGCAACTGGGGCTTCCTTAATCCCTCAGGAGAACAACAGGCAGATCACTTTCATGTTATCCTCTATGGTCCAGTGCCCAGACCAGGTACTTAAAAAAATAAACCGTATATGGGAATAATTATATATATATATATTTGCAGTGAAAGATTGTATTGTACAACAGAATCAATATGGATATGGAGTATCAGAATCTGTAAAAACCCATATTGATATAAAGAAGGGGGGAATTTCCCAGTAAATTACACATTTCTCTTTAAATAATGTTAGAAATAAGAAAAAAATGAACCATTTAATTTGACAATTTAGCTTCAATAAAAAATAATTAAAAAAAGAATTTCATTTTTTGAAATAAATTAGCTGTGCTACCTGTTTTCATGTTGTCCATCCGAACATTTAAGTCCTCGTTCTGCTGCAGGACGTAGACGATCTGGTCCTGCAGAGACAGATTCTTCTCCACCTAAACATAGAAAATCCAGACGGCTTCAGTGAGACCTTAGCAAAGAAAAAAAGCTCAAAGAATTTCAGGAAACCTGTTGAACCTACCAGTTCATCCATCTGCTGCAGCTTCCTGTTTTGCTCCAGCACACGCTCAGCCTTCATCTCAATAACAAACAGCAGAGACTCCCAGAATGCACTTGGGCTGCCATGCTCCTGAACAACAATAATAAGCATTTTGATCTGAACAGATATGTAAAAAAAAAAAATAGGAAGGCTTTCTTTCAATTACTTTATCTTTCTAAAAACTACCAGAATATTTCTAATATAATATTTCTAATATATCCATCCATCCATCCATCCATTCATCCATTTTCTGACATGATTAATCCGAAGTGGGGTCGCAAGGGGTGCAGGTGCCTGTCTCCAGCTGTCTATGGGTGAGAGGCGGGGTACACCCTGGGGTACACCCTGGACAGGTCGCCAGTCTATCGCAGGGGAACACAGCGACAAAGAGGACAAACAACCATTCATGCACACACTGACACCTAAGGAGAATTTAGAGAAGCTAATAAACCTAACAGTCATGTTTTAGGACTGTGGGAGGAAGCCGGAGTACCCGGAGAGAACCCCCGCATGCTCAGGGAGAACATGCAAACTCCATGCAGAAAGACCCCGGGCAGGGAATATACCCACAACCTTCTTGCTGCAAGCCAGCAGTGCTACCACTGCGAAGCCTATTTCTAATATGATAATATAATATTTCTATTATAATATAATCTAATATGTTTCTCTTCAAATTCTTCTTAAAGGTTGATAGCTCCACTAGTTTCTTCAGGTCGTTGTAGACCTGCAGCTCAGCTGTTAACTGCTCCACTTTGGCCTTCAGGTCAAGAACAAACACAAACATTAATGGTGAGAATTAGGAAAAGCAAACCTGGTCCTGCTGCCAGGTGAGGAGATGTATCAGAGCAACAAATAACAATTTTAGATCCTTGACCCTACTCTTATTTAAGGTTTACGACCAAGGTATGAATTGAGTTTAGGTTATTTTTTGGGTTAAGCATGTGTTGGTAATCGCTAGGCTTAGGCTGTGTAAAGGAGTAGGAAATCAATATAAAGTCGATGGAAAGTTCCCACAGGTACAGTGTGACACAGCATGTATGTGTGTGGTAGGTGTTGGCTACTGCAAACTGACCAAAAGCATCGGTAGTTAGTTTAATCAACATTAGTATTACTGTTTTAATTGATCAGCAAACCGACCTGAACTATTAAGAGGAAGATCAAAGAGCAAACAAGGCAGAAGGAATGAAAGACTCAATGAAAGCAACTGGTGCTTCATTAATTCCTTGGCAGAACCACAGGCTGATCACCTCCATGCCATCCTCTATGATCCAGAGCCCAGCCCAGGTACCAAAGACAAACACTGTACCGTATATGGGAATTTCTCCATTGTTAGATTAATAAAGTTCAGTTATTATTATTATTATTATTATGGGAAAAATGTATCAACCATGTATTTCTGTTTTATAAATGTTTATATTTGGTCTGACATCATTTTCCAATATTCTAGGAAAAATAAGTGTTGTCATTAGCTGCAAACCAGAAACATCATCTTTTAAAAAGTAATTATTCTCAGTGTAATAGGCTTTTGCATCATCCCTAATTAAATTAAGATGCACCTGTGATTTCCTGTGTGTGGCGTTTCATTTCACAGGCCATGCACTCTAGGGGGTAATTCTTCCTGCGTGGGTTGGGTTATGTGCCACCTCTTTAAAGTCCCTGACAAACTGAGCCTTGGACTCGTCAGTGACTACAGGTGGATCATAAACCCAGGAAGCAGCTTCAGCTGTACTGACCTAGCCTACAAACATTGTGATGTCATCAGGGAGAAAGGAGGGAAATAGATACAGTCCTTAAAATCTTACTCCTCCTGATGTAAGGCAGCGTCCTCTGGAGATAAAATCCTTCCAGTCTGGAATTATTTCCAACTTTTAATACAAGATATAGTTTTTGAATGACTGGAATCTTCTACTTTATCTGCTTTGCAAACCAATGTTATATCGTGTTACTTTGTCTTAAAAGCAAACAGAACATGAAGAGCAGGGCTTCATGCACTGTTTATCTGCAGAACCTGAAGTAAGGCTGCAGGATTTGTCTCTTTACTACACAGCTGGTGGAAAAGATACAGCTGAACTTACAGCCTGTAGGTTCAGCTGTTTACCCTGTAAGTTCAGGGTAAAAGTTTGTCAGTTATTCAACAATTATTTGTATTCTACCGCCATCTAGCGGTCAACATAATGTATTACATAATTTGGAAGTCTGAATTCAAGATGTGCCTTTAACTCCAAGTTTAGTTAAGCTTAAATCAGGATTGTTTCACTGCTTAAACCTTGTCTTATTTACTCCATTTGGAGTCACTTACTGGTCCTTTAAGGCTAGAAAGATCAGATCAAAGTGTCTAAGTATTGCCCTGAACTGCTGTAAAACTTATTGTCTGAAGTTTATGGAATGGACTGTTCTCCCTGCTGCCCTCTGGGAAGAGGCTTCACAGCATCCGATGCAGGTCCAGCAGATTCTGAAACAGCTTCTTGCCCACTGTCATCAGACTGCTGAATGTTGAGAAAACTCTAAATCAAGTCACAGACTCTGCATTCATGTTCTTTACCTGCACTTGCAGCAGTAGTTTTATTGCTGGAGTTTTATTACCAAAATCTAATTTAAAAGTAAAGGAAAACTTGAAAAGAAAATTAATTTCTTTTCAAATCTATTCAAAAACCCAAAAATGTTAATTTGACTAATAATTGCTCACTTGAAAAGCTGTACTTAAATGTTTAAATTTGGCAAAAAAAACTTGTTTACAATCATTCAGGAAGCTTCTGTGAGCATAAAGCTCCAGGGTTGAAGTCTTAACGCATTTTGACAATTCTGAACACAATACAAGAGATCAGCTTCAAGACTACTGAACAGAGATGTTTGTGAGTGACCGTCTCTTAAATAGGCTTTGACATTCAACAGAAATAAGAAAAATATTAAACTTACTTACAGTTTGCATTCTTTATTATTTTCAAAGCCAAAAAAGTACAAAGTGTATCTACATGAACATATAAACAAAAGGCTGCACTAATTGCTGAGAAAAGATAAAATGCACTTTTCTAACAAGCCAAAATATCAAGGCTGTACAGTACACCAAAAAAAAAGAAAAAAGATCTACAGTACAAATTCCTGTAAAATCCTGGTCAAAGTGCTTGTGCATACTGAAAAAAAACACTGAAATTATATTTTTTTTGGCAATACAAATGTTACATACAAAAAAGTTCAAAAATATATTTCAAATTACAAATGCAACATAATGCAGTGACTGTTTTTATGATTTCTAGTAAATATTTCCTGACTTAATTTCACCAGACAGTAAACATGAATAATGCAACATAAATGAAATAGGAAGGTATCATGCTAACCTGAAGCTAATTTGCTGAATTTAATTAGATGTAATGAACTCAATAACCTTGACAACAGTAAATAAACTGGATCATTAATAATCCCGTGTTTAAAACAAATGAAATCCTCCAGGGTGTATTTTATTCAATGCTGCATGTAACCATCCAACCGCACTGCATAGCTAGAAACTTACCATCATCTGGGACGGTTTAATGAAGCCAGAAAGAAAAGATCATTTAGATACATATGAAGTAAATAGTGATGCAACTAATTCAATCATTCCCCTATATAAAAAAAAAACTGTTGTATGACAAAATACTTTAAATATCTATTTTTGCAATGAATAAGAAAATGTCTCAGAGGCACACGGTGGATTTGTGGGGAATGGAGGATTTAGCTGGAAAAGCAAATGATGAATTGAATATGTAAAACTACAACTAAATCTAGGTACATTGGTTCAGTTTAGGGTAACAAACCTTCCAGCATGGTATAAAGGCACAGAACAGTCTAAAGATCCAAAATAGCAGATCTGCAGTGGGACGGTCAAAGCTGAATGCTTGGATTTTATAATGCACAATAAATCACCTTTCCAGAGATAAAGTAATATTCTGACATCATGTTTATCTTCAGCAAACAAAATCCTAAAAAACTTTCACAAAAACATAAGATGGATTTATGTGACAACCGACACTTTAACTCTTTAACTGGGAAACTACAGCATCCTGTCTGTAGATAAACAAGGCATTTCATCTGATAGCCCAGAATATGGCGCTATAGATTCAAAGAGTCAACAGATGTTTCATTTTCAGTGTCAAAAGTTTTAAACTCTAAATAAGCATTTAGTCCTCCAGAAAACATAATAATTGTGATCAGTATCAAAGACAACCCAACGAGGAAGGCCTCACATCGTCGCTTCAGTCATTGGCTCACGTTCATTATTGGCAGAACAAAAACAATGAACTATGGCTTTTAAAAGCTCAAACCCCTGATTTGAGGAAATGGTTTCAGTTTTCATTATCGTTGGATATTCATCCATGTTTATAAAGTATTTGTAGAAACAACCAAAGCAGTTTGTGCCGCTGGCATTTCTCTAAGGTGTGCTGCTCTTTTCTTCTGTCTCCCAGTTTCAGAATCGACTTCAGTGAAAGATGAAACAACTGTACAAAATACTTAAACAACCTAAAAAAAAAAAATGCCTGTGTGACAGCACCCCGCATTGATTTCAATGTCCTGCACTGATGCATCACAGTGCAACTCCAGATTATAAACTGGATCCCAGATGGTTGAACCTTCCATCCTGAGCAGTAAACCAGCTTCTATGACACAGAGTCACAGTTTTGGGGTCATCTAGGGGCGATCTCCTGCATCATGGCTGGAAGGTGGATTCCTGGACATGAATCTCTGTGTCTTAGTTTAAACATCAGCTGCTCCTTTTCCTGAGAAAGATTCTGGTTTACTGCTATCTGCCTCTCCAGCGCCACCTTCAGGTCCTGTTGCTCCTTAGAAAACTGCCTAGAAAACAGAGAAGGTGAGGAAATTAATAAGGAGTTTTAGAGGTTATTTAGGTTGCTTTCCAGATGTACAAAAGTGAGTTTCACTAATTTGATTAGACAATAAAAATTTCTATCTTTCATATAGATTCTTTACATTCAAAACAATGTGTTTCGACTTGGAACAAATAAAGTTTAGTCTCTTCAAAGATCTTACATATGACCAATGATCTTTAACTCATACATGTTCTATTATGGTCTAAACGGATACGACTGCTAGTTCCTAAATCAGCTTGTTGTCCATAATAGTGTCCGGTTTAAACCAGATCTATTCTTGCCAAGTCAGCCTGTTGACACCTGGAAGCCGTCTGTTTCACTGATAGTGCTTTTGTTTTTCACACTGGAGATGAATCGCTCATTGTTTGACTCTCTGCTGCATATCTGATTGCTGAAGGACTGTTGTTTTCTTTTTAATCCATACTTTTCCTACTGACGCCTTCAGTAATAAAAATGGTAGAGCAGAGGCAGACCAACACATAGGTCTTTTAATATCAGTATTGACATAAAAAAAGGAGGACATTTCCCAACAGATTAGACATTTTTCTTTTAAAAAAAATTTGAGCAATAAGAGCAAAACAAACCATTTTATTTGGAAATTAAGCTTAAATAGAATTTTTTTTTAAATGATTTCATGGATTTTATCTTTACTTGCTTTTATTTTCCTTGTATTTTACTATTAATTCATGTAAATCACTTTGAATTGTCTCAACATGAATTGTGTTGTACAAATAAAATTGCCTTGCACTAAATTTAATATAAACTCAAATCTTTCAAAGATGATTTATTAAAACATAACTAGGAGTCTGTTTTGCCAGAAGATAATGTTGATATAGAATATAATCATTTTCCTAATATCTTTTAAAGTCTTATACAATAAAAAATTTCCATTATTAATATTCTCTCATAAAAACAAATACTCCAAATTAGTGATGCACGATCTAATCGGCCCCCTATCGGTATCGGCCTTAAAACTGAATATCGGACATCGGCCACCCCACCGATATTTAACCCAATATTTGATCAACTTCTGAGTTTCTAAAGTCTAAAAAATTTATCAACATATTTTTATATGTTGATATATTGACGTGGTATCGATCTATTTTACTAACAAAATCTCACAAGAATTTGCAAAATATCACGAGAGTTTGTAACAGAACGATGAAATTTCACGAGATTTTGAAAGTGAACTCGTTTTTTAAAATCTATTTGATATCAGCATATGAAAATATATTTGAGTATATTATTTTTCAAAGTGTCAGAAATGGATAACAAAACTGCTATTTTCAATAACTACTTATTTTTGTCCAGCTTTAACATCGGTTTTGATATCTGTTATCGGCTACATGAGTTTTAAAATATCGGCATATCGGATATCGGCCAAAATCCCAATATCGTGCATCCCTACTCCAAATAGCTCCATGGATCACAAAGGGTTTACAAAATGCCTGCAAGAAAAAGAGTAAACCATACAGAAATTTTAAAATGCATAGGTCTTTGGGGGAGAGAATAAATATAATGGAAGAATAAATTAAATGTTATTCTATGAATAGCTAAACAGAATTATTAGAGTAAATTATTAGATAGAAATAAGAAAAATATCAAATGGATTTTGAATGTATTGATTCATTTTATAAAGAGAAACTCTGCGCAAAATGAAATTTTCGCAATTTGTGTAAACAACGATAACATTTTTGAGTGTGGGACCCAAACTGGCAAAAAAAAAATCCTGGATCCTACAACAACTGGAGCTCTGAATGAAACAAGAATCAGCAGTAATTGTTACTCAATGTTTCTCACTGCTGTGAGAGAAAGGGAAATTATGTTTCTATTTATGTTCGGTTGGATTTAGTTAGTTTGGAAATTGGTGTTTGGTTTGGTTGATGTTAACTAGTCTTTTTGTGTGTATTTGGTCATTTATTGTCGTTTGTCAAATTGTCTGTCTAAAATTATCTGAAATAAATTCCTATTAATTCATTCACAACATCCTAAATTTCGGAGAAAAAGCCTGTACAGTGAGTTAAAAAAGTGTTTTTATTTTCTAAATCATTACATGAAGCAAGATTAATTTACCTTGTAATTTTATCTTTTGTTAAATTATTAACCAACCAGGAAAAAAAAGCTTTTACCCCTTAAAAAAAAAAATAAAAAATAAAAACAACTAGCAACATCAGTTTAGCTGGAAGGCTTTATGACCAGCAGGTGGTGCTGTATTCATACTTACTGAATGAGAGTCTGGCAGTTGTCTATCCGAACATTTAAATCCTCATTCTGCTGCAGGACGTGAATTATCTGGTCCTCCAGAGACAGATTCTTCTCCACCTAAACACAGAAAATCCAGATGGCTTCAGTGAGACTGTTTATAAAAAAAAAAAAAAAAAAGCTCAAAGAATTTCAGAAAACCTGTTGAACCTACCAGATCATCCATCTGCTGCAGCTTCCTGTTTTGCTCCAGCACACGCTCAGCCTTCATCTCAATAACAAACAGCAGAGACTCCTGCTCTGACTCCCAGAATGCACCTGGGCTGCCATGCTCCTGAACAGCAATTTAATCATTTTGATCAGAACAGATGTAAAAAAAAAATGAAGGCTTTCCTTCAATTACTCTGCCTTTGTGAAAACTACCTGAATATTTCTCTGCAAGTCCTTCTTAAAGGTTGATCGCTCTACTCGTTTCTTCAGGTCGTTGTAGACCTGCAGCTCAGCTGTTAACTGCTCCACTTTGGCCTTCAGGTCAAGATCAAACACAAACATGAATGGTGAAGATGAGGAAAAGCAAACCTGGTCCTGCTGCCAGGTGAGGAGATTTATCACAGCAATGAACAACAATATTATATGATCAACACTATACTTTCTTAACATAATAAAAATAATATACGTGTGTGCGACTGACATGTGTGTCAGGTGTAATCCAGCCACCTCAAAAAGGAGTTAGTAGAAGATAAAATATATTAAAAAAAATCTGTTAAATCGGGTAGAGTCCAGTTATCAGCTGTTGCTCTACATTCACATCACTACAGATATGCAGCTAAAATTCAGATATGTCTGTCCCTGAAGCTCCGTGTGAAACAGTTGTAAAAGGTGTATTAACAAGACAAAACATTTAATCACATGAGAAACCATGAAAATATATTAAAAAAATATTCCTTAGTTAAGGCAATGCTTCTCAAATAGTGTGCGACCCTGGGGAAAAGCCTTTTTTGGCTGTACTAGTTTAAATTGTAATTGCGCATCCACTACAGTAGGCGGCAGTGGCGCCCTCATTGTTACTTCTGTCACCATATGCCTTTCTTTTTTTTCTTTTCTTTAATGTTAATAAGGATAAAATGTTATGCAGAGATGGATAATCACGGTGGGGAGAGGGGGACGCGAATAGTTTTCTTCTTGCTAGGGGGGGCACTGAGTTAAGGCAATTGCCATCAGTGCCTCCAATTATAAATGCTGAAAATAAACAAAAGATGTTGAAATCTTAAAATGTGATGCAGAATGACTGCATTCATTGATGCCTGTAGGCCATTGATTTTTTTTTTTTTATTCATCTTGTTGATTTGTTCAAAGGGGCACAACAAAACTGTGTTTGTGATACGGTGGCCATGTTATGTAACCTTGTGGGGACAATCTCCTAGGAATATGGAACATTTTGGGAACTTATAGGTACTTGTTCAGACCAACAACTGAAAATGTTCCTTTCTTGACGTGGGTGGGGTTAAGGTTTAGGACTACCTGCTGGTAGCAGTGATGGTGTCAAGCGCTGTATATTAGCCTGAGGAATTATTTAAAAAAAATCTCATATGCCTCAACTCTTTAGGTCACAAAGTCAGTGGTGTGCCTTTAATTAGCTAACAAAAAAAGAAACAAAAAAAACTTTGATATTAAGATGATTACCTTCAGGATGTCTTCAGCTGCTTGAAACCTTTCTGTCAGCTCAGTTTTCTCCTGTTCGTGTTTTCTTTGAAGCTCTGCAGGAATTTGCAAAAACAGACTTACTGAAGCATCAACACACGATAAAACATGGCATCAAAAAAAAAAAAAATACATAAAAAAATGGAAACTGTACAAAAAGCCATTTCACAAGACACCAATTTGCTATTTATTGACAGAAGACAATCTGCGAACACCTAAACTGACCTAAACTATGAAGTTCTAGTGCTCCAGTTTCCCTGCTTGTAGAGCTTCATATTCTCCACTGTTACAAACTTAACAAAAACACTGTTCTATGGTGTATTTAGCAAATGTAAACAGGGTTAGAAAAGATTAACTTATAAAGAGTGAAAACTAATATGTATTAAACTGACCTAATGTACTAAAAATAAATTTTTATGACCATCATTAATGGGCTTCAATCCTGTTGCCCTAAATTTTAAACCCAGAATTCACACTTTGAAGGAGTTTTCCAGATTAAATTTACTAATCTGAGGATAGAAATTCCAACTTCCACGTACAAATGGAGCCCATCGTTACTCCTTTAACAATCCCTACTTGAAATCATATCAAAGGTATTTAAAAAAAGTGTCAGAACCTTCTGATGGCTACAGTTGGTTTTTTCTTACTTTAGCTAAGATAAAGGAGACTGTAAGGAGAGACCACAATTGCAAGTTCAAAAGAGGATTAATGAGATTAAATATAATGTAAGTAAATAAAGTGAGACGATAGGTAGACAAAAATGACACATGGAAATGCCTTTGTTTCCACACAAGCTTTCCATGAAAAGAAAAAACTGCTGGTCTGAAAGTAGTTAAATGAGCAAAAACTTAACAATTTCAATGGTTAAAGGTCATTTTTGACACTTAGATAAATAGAACCTGATAAACAATACAACCTGAACAGTGTTTGTGTAAACATTGTGTGATGTGTTAAAGGGGGCTGAACTGTGGAACTCCATGGGTCTGTATTTAACTGATGTACTGTTGAAATACATGGAGAGAAACTCTCCATGTATTTCTCCACTGCACTGTATTTTTGTTTGTTTTTCTACCGCTACATGACAAGCAGTGAAACAGAAGAACATCAAACTGAAACTTGGGAGGAAGATTATTGAAATAAAAACAAGGAAGTGTTTTCATCCATCCTGAGAGCAGCTTTACAAAAGAAATCCCCAAAAATGTGAAGACAGCAGTCATCAAAACATAGAAAGGAAGGCAAATAAAGCCAAGACAAACGAATATATGGAAGACAAACTGTGAAGCGGTGAGTGTTTACCTTCTACGTGTCTCTCATGTTCTTCTATGGCTGATTTACTTTTGCGTTCATGCAGAACGTTTAGATCAGCTGTTGTCTCAGTCTTTACCTGCAGGTCATACAACAGAAGTGAGCTTCCAGAAAGTTTGAAGGATTAGAGGAAAAAACGGAAAGAGTGATCTGAGTTAATCGCTCTCCACGCTTTCTGAAGGGCTTTTTAAGAGTTTAGGTATTTTCTTATGGATTTAAAAAGACAAGGAATTTAAACTGATAGTCGGGAAGTTGAGAGACTGGAATAAAGTATCAAATTAATTGATCTAATTAACCGATTACAAACAATTCTGGTTAACTGGGAGCAAAATCAGAAGGAATGACTGCTGGATCAGGGGATCTTTTAACACCAGGGGTCACAGTCAGGACACAGCCGACTCAAAGCTGAGGCTGCAGACATAAATCACATGCAGAATAAACAAACTCCTGGCTGCAAACATAGGATTTCTGAAGCTTCCTATCCTCAACTAAAGCCAAGAGCACCAGGCTTGCTGTCTTGCATGCAAAGAGCCGCGGAAGTGAAGAAAAGGAAAACAGCAACAAACAGGAGCTGCTAACGTTAGACTGGATGATAAAGATATTTCACATTCAGTAAAAGATTTTTTATTCTGGCAAAATGAACTAAAATGCAGTCCTGACATGAATCTTTAAAATATCCATTAAAAATATCCACATCACTTTAAGGTTAACCCTGACTTTTTCTTTTTCACAATTATAAATTTGAAATGAATAAACAATTTAATTAATGACTAAATACAAAGTGCACTTTTCATACTATTGCATTGTAATTATGGAGGAAAAACGCTCACTATTTCAAGTTCATGCAGAAATATTTCCAAATATGCACATTTTTCCCCACATGTTGTGATGTTACAGCCTTTATTCCAAATTTCACCAATTTCCTTAATGATTATATGAAAAAATTGGTTGCTAAAATGTATTAGAAATAGGAAAATATATTTATGTGGATGTCAACAGCCTTCACTTAAATCATTAGATTTTCATCTGTTCACTCCTTCAAAGTCGTAGCGAAGCGCCTGTTCCAAGGGTTGCAGTTCCAAATTCTGCATAGTGGTGCCCAACTTTACAAAAGTGAATAAAGTGAATGTGATTGGTCGTTTATCAAAGGGGCGGGATTGTTGTGGCAGAAGGTTCACAAGCATGTTTGGTTGTGGCCGGTCTGTCGGAAGCATCTTGCTAACCAGTTAATAACTTAGTGCTAGTAGGTTCCCAATGGGAAATTCCATTGGGACCAATTAGCACCAACTTGGCGACGTGGAAACGACACTGTCAAGGAACGCTATGGACAGAGGAAAGATGCAAGAGGAGGAGAGTTTTGTGTCGGAGGTCGTGGAGGAGTCTCCCGTCATACATTTTTTATTTAGAGGAGGAAAGTGGGGACGAAGATGTTGTGGAGGAGGAAGCCAGAAGCTTGGTTTGGTGTAGAAGGCTAACAGTCGTACATGTTTGAGCCCTTGCCTCGCAACGCTGCCAGTTCTGTTAGCTCTATGCCTGCCGAAGACAGACGTCCATCCCATAAACACTGGGACGTAACTCAATGGTAAAGTAAATGATTCTTATATCTTATTTCAACCGTTGCGTATATTAGGTGCGACATATGAATCAAGATGCTATGACTGAAAAAAATATGATTGACAGATGACCGTTGATATAGGATTGGCTGAATTTAGGTGGACAAGCTGACGTATAACTAAGTGGCCTGCATAAGATAACGGGAAGAAAAAAAAGATTTTAAGACTAATTCTTTTTTTTTTTATATAAATTCTCTAACTTTGGGGAAAATGTCATCTGATTAAGAGTATATTTATATACATGTTTAAGCCAGAATGATTTGACATTTAAATATGACTTCCCTATGACTTTAAATCTGAGCCTGTAAACTTGCTTCCTATTTTTTGTTTTGCCTATTTCCTGTTGTCAGTCAGGTTCTCTTTATTCTTGTTGTCTGTAACCAGCCCTGAGCTCTCAGCTCCACAATCCTGTTTTAAATCACAGTTAATCTAAGCTGAACAGAAAGGACATTTTTTTCTTTTCAAGGGTCTCATGTTAGTTTATAAGATTATTTAACCTCAATAAATAAAACCATAATTTTAAAATGTTAGTATTTACTCTGGTTCTCTTTTTCTGATACCAAAGCATGTTTTAAAATCCAAAACATCACAGTGTAACAGCAATGGAAAGGATTTAAGGGCCAAAGGCTTTCTCACCTTATCGAGAATGCTCTGAACAAGGGCACACACCTCTTCATCAGTATGACGTTTCAGTAGCTCCACCCTCTCTGAGCTCCCATTGGCTGAGAGCACTTCCTTTAAGATTTTCAGCTGCCACTCAAAGCGCTCCAGCTGCTTTTCCAGACCAACGTCCGGCTCACTGGAAGAACGTTTACCTGCAAGAAAAAAAAAGATTAAGAAAATAAGAACAAAACTAAGCTCTTACAGCTTGAGATGGCAACAAACAGGACATTTTTCTACTATAAAAAAAATAAACAAAAAACTCTTCCTCACCCACTGCGCTCCGTGTAAGCTTTCCTTGCTAGCATCTTACACCCTGCAGTTATGTACTGGATTGTCTCAGTGGCCTCTTTGTACAGTCTGCACCTGGGGTGTTGTATTTTATATAGTGCAATCATACTAACATGATATAATATATATATGTGTGTGTGGTGTGAAAAAGGTGCTTGCATGCATGAATCTGAATGCTAGCTGTTTGTCTCTCTTGTGTGGCTGTTTCCCCACTTTAAGCCTATTATTACCACCACCTAAAAGGCTGGAGTGAAACATGTAGCTACTTGCTGTTGTTGCGAATATATTGCAAATACAGGTAATTGTATTGTAATCGGACCATAGTTCAAGTGTAAGGAAACATGTTTGAATGTTTGGAAGATGATATCGGTCTAATTTTATTATTAATGGATATCGGATTTTATTTTATGCTGATGGAAACTCTGCTTCTGCTAAATGTTTCTGTAACTCATTGTTTCATTTTACATGGGTTAGTTGTTTTAAATACCTTTTGTTGTTGATTTTTTGTTTTAGTAATACTTAGATCAAGCCTTTTTTCTTCAGTATAAAATGAATAACAAAATTTATGATTTACGCTAATATCGGATTGGATCAATATCGGAAATGAAAAAGTTGCATGAGGACGTCACTAATTCCCAAATCCGTAAATCACACATAATTTGTTTTTTTAAGTACAGTCAATAGAATTAAAATAATATTCTCTTCTGGGGTAAGTTTTTTTTCAATCCATATCTTTCATATTGTTAGGGAGTGATGTTAAATTTACCATAAATTATATATGGATAAAATAGCTGGCTTTATTTGGGTCATAAAACTTCTTAAGTCTGAGATCCTTTGCAGGCAGTGTTTGATCCAACTTCTTTCGATTATGAAGCAAAACCAAACACATCCTGCTGTAAAGAAAAATTTTTCTCGAAAATTGAAAAGAATGTAAAAGTCGTTTAATCTGTCAACAGGTGAATGGGGAAAGAAGTGAAACCCTCCCCACTCAAGACACAGAAGAGAAGGCAAAACAGCCCCCTACAGGCAGACAGAGGAAATGTATGTGATGACATCCAAACATAAAAACAACTTAGACTTTTTTCTTCAAGCAAAAATCTGAGCTTCAGTACTTTTGAAACTATACCAACAGCTTACGGTTTTACTGTAAAATGTCAAGCAGTTCAGCCCCACACCATTCAGGAAGGGAGCCTGACTGTAATTGATTACCTCCTGAACATGAGGGGACATGACTAAAACACACACACACACCATTCATTTCCAATGACGTCGCCTGTTTTGGTGAACTGTGATGAGCTCAACAACAACTGTCACAAGTTCAACCAAAGCTGTAATTATGACTGTACAACTCAACATGAATGCTGACAGTTCATTCAAAATATGCAACACCTTCAAAGACATAACTCCAAAATCACAGATTAGTGTTTAAAAATCAGGGAAACTCTACTTCTGGGCTTTTCAATCAAATAATAGTATTTTTCTGATAATCCCAGAACAAAGTGAGAGTGGAAACAGGTTGGAGCCTGTCTACAGGTGAGCTAACGGCGTCACTAGACTTCAATCAGAATGAAATCCAGAGAAAGAGTTGCTTCTGGATGTTAAACTGCACTGATTAAAACACATCCTGAATAGTTTCTATAAAAACTGGAATATTCCTTCACCCCCCACCCAGGCTGCCTGCTGACACCTCTATGTGTGAGCAGGCAGCAGCTGATTCTTATCAAGATGACGGCGTGTCCCGGATGAAATGAGTGGTTTCTGTGCTGCCGTTTAAACTGCTCATAAACGGCAGGAAGTTAGGAAACGAGAGCTTTAACTGACTGAGTCACATTTTACAGCAGATGGTTCAGGCTCCAACAGCCCAATAAAAAGATCTGTTGTTGGTAACCATCTTCATTTCATCTAATTGGTGAGGGAAGGCATGGGTCAGGCTTACAACCCATGCCTTCCAGAGGATTTCTTCATGATTTAACTTGTATTATAAACCATGAAAGTATAAACTCATCACTGACCTAATATGTTAAAACAAAACAAATACATAAATAACAGTACTCATTTAACCCTTAATCAATCTAATCAATTTGGTATTTAAACTTATCTTAAAGTGAAACAAAAACATCAAAAGTTTTTTTTTTCCTCGTTACAGAAACCTAAGAAACGGGAAGTGAAGAAGGTGAGCAATGTGAAAACAGTCAGAGGAGGAAACCACAGCCTGAAATGCTCAAATTCAAAGTCATGGAGGAAGGAAGGTTCATGCTCTGTCAGCTCTAGGCTATATTACAGTAAAAGAAATTATTTCAGTTCATTCAGAGCAACAGAAATGGACACTTTGCATCATGAAGTCAACCATGACCTTTCTGTATAGCAGAATTGAGGCTTCTTGTACAACAGCAGAAGCTTGCTCATAACCCAAAACTAAAAGGAGAAGCAGATTTAAAACAGGATGGCTAATAAAAGAAACTAAATTCTGTGATGGACTGGTCGAATTAAAGACCTCAACCTGACTGAAATGTGTTTTTTGTTATGACCTTAAAAGAGCTGATCAAAAATACAGAAACAGTGAGGAAATAAGTATTTGAGCACCTGTCTATCAGCTAGAATTCTGACCCTAAAAGACCTGTTAGTCCGCCTTCAAAATGTCTTCCTATGCTCCATTTATCCTAAATTAGATGCACCTGTTTGATGTCATTAGCTGCATAAAGATAACTGCTCACCCCATACAATCAGTAAGAATCCAACTACTAACATAGGCATGACCAAAGAGTTGTCAATTAACACTAGAGACAAAATTGTACACCTCCACAAGGCTGGAAAGGGCCAAGGGGAAATTGCCAAGCAGATTGGTGAAAAGGTCCACTGTTGGAGCAATCGTTAGAAAATGGAAGAAGGTAAACATGAGTGTCAATGTCCCTTCCACTGGGGCTCCAGGCAAGATCTCACCTTGGGGGTCTCTGATACTAAGAAAGGTGAGAAATCAGCCCACAGCTAGACAGGAGGAGCAGGTCAATGACCTGAAAAGAGCTGGGACCACCGTTTCCAAGGTTACTGTTGGTAATACATAAAAGACATCATGGTTTAAAATCCTGCATGGCACGAAAGGTTCTCCTGCTTAAACCAGTTCATGTCAAGGCCTGTCTTAAGCTTGCCAATCACCATTTGGATGATCCAGAGGAGTCATGGAAGAAAGTCATGTGGTCAGATGAGACCAAAATAGAACTTTTTGGTGATAATTCCACTAACCATGTTTGGAGGAAGCAGAATGATGAGTACCATCCCATAGCACCATCCCAGTGAAGCATGGGGTGGTAGCATTGAAGGTATTGGAAGTGAGAGTTTTTTGCCTATGGGACAAGGCAACTGCACTGTATTAAGGAGAGGATGGCCAGGGCCATGTATTGAGAGATCTCCTTCCCTCAGAGCATTAAAGATGGGTCGAAGCTGGGTCTTCCGACAGTGGGCGACATTGGCGTTGCATGTGGGAGTTTGCTCTGAAATCGAAGGATTGACGGTTCAAGCCCCGACTCCCGAATTTCAGTGTTGTTGTGTCCTTGGGCAAGACACTTCACCTGCATTGTCTACTGATGGTGGTCAGAGGGCCCGGGGCAGCTGTGGCTACAATGTAGATTGCCACCATCAGTGTGTGACTGTGTGAGTGTGCGTGTGAATGAATGTAATGTAAAGCGCTTTGGTCAAGTCTCCTGACTTGAATAAAGGCGCTATATAAGTACATGCCATTTACCATTCCAACATGACAATGACCCAAAGTACACAGCAAGGATAACCAAGGAGTGGCTCTGGAAGAAGCATGGCCTAGCCAGTCTCCAGACCTAAACCCAATAGAGAATCTTTGGAGCCAAAACTCTGTTTCTCAGCGACAGGTAAGAAATCTGACTGATCTAGAGATGATCTGTGTGGAGGAGTGGGCCAAAATCCCTCCTGCAGTGTGTGCAAAGGTGAAAAGCTACAGGAAACATCTGTAATTGCAAAAAAAGGCTACATTGATTTTCTAAGGTGGAAAAAATACATATTTGTAGCTGTATCAGACAAATAAAAATACAAAAATAAAAACACACACACACACACATTGTGATTTCTGATTTTTCATAGATTATGTCTCTTACAGTGGACATGCACTTACGATGACAATTTCAGACCCCTCCACTTTCAGAAATTGTGAAACAGCAGTTTGTTCAAATACTTATTTTCCCAACTTTATGTGTGGGAGATCCTTCCTTTAAAGTCATGCAGAAAATAACTGCTGTTAATTGTGGGTCAAAGAGCTGCTAGAAAATTAAATCAACAGATTTTCTTGCATTGCTTTCTTATTTGGTTTGGTTTAGGGACTGTATTAGTAATCCTTCACCCCTGGTTTGATTTAACATCTACTGAGAAACAGCTGATGGTTATCTTGGCTTTAAAAGTGAAGCAATTAAAAGTTTATGAGCATGCCTTCTTCCAAACCTCATGTATTTGGATATAAAAACTGTCCAACCAGACGGAAACTCACCTTCTTCATATTGACGGCCACTGTCCCTCTTTTTCTTCTCTCCTTTCCTGCCTTTGCTCCTTCTCTGTAGAGAAAATAAGTAGATGTTTACATTAAATTTATCCGCATTTTGAGACCATTTACTACCCCAAGAGGTGAAAGTTTTTGCTCACAGCTGTAAAGTTGGATCAGTTTTGACAGAAAGTGTATATAAATCATATAACCATCTGCAGAGTGGTGTCAGCAAGATGGGAATCTGTTGGCCTTTCACAAGTAAAGCTCTGACATTTTACAGTGCAACTAAAGGTTTCCAGTGTTCCAAATAAAACACAAATCCTGGATTTTACTAGATGAAATATGGGGAGAAGGCTGTGGAAAAATATTTGGTCAGATAAGGGTTAAATGCAATCATCCATTAATCATTAGTAATTAGCATGTCTGGCTTTGCACTGCAGGGGCTCCTAATGCAACACTCCTTAGTACAGAATCCAAAAGGCACCATAGAAGGGTCATGTATTGTATCTTTGCTTTTCCACCTCATGAGACCAGCCTGGAAATGCCGTTCCAAATTACTTTTTATTTTTTAACAACTTGTCATTACAAAGCAAAAAGGTAGGCAAACCTTCTGCATTTGACAATGAAAGCAAATGATTCGGTTAATTCTTCTTTGAATCTTCTGTTCTCATCAGCTATCTTCCTTTTTTCCCTTTTTGGATCTATGGTCCGAGACACAACCGCTGCTTCGTTTGCCTGGCACAGCGCTGCGCTGAAACGTGTGTTACAGCCTATGACCACTGATCTCTACGGCTATGATGCAAATTTTCCTTGAAAGAAATGTTTACATTTATTGTTTAAATTTGACCTCATGCAAGCCAGATTAAAATAAAAAATACTTGAAAAGAGCTTAAGAGCCGCGGATTGCCAACCCCTGCCATAGAGGTCTGTTAAGATCCCATCCTCAAATATCGCAACCAGAATCAGTGAGACGGGTCAACATGGCTAGAAGGTAACTCGCTGGTTCTCCTGATCCAAACCCTCCTCTAAGATCATGAAAACCTGGAGTTGGGAGTGCAATTGCAGAACTTCTGGACAAATTAGAGGAGAGCAAAGACAGATTTAAGAACTTGATTGGATCTCCAAACTCCACTACTGCTACTAGTTGAGTTGCAAGCATGGAAAACCGCCCACAAATCAAACAAGCGGTTCTCTTATGCAGGGATGTGAACTTTCTCCCGTTTTTTTCCCTAAATCCTCAAATCATGAATGCTTATTATACATTTAAGCCCATGTATTATACATTTAAGCCCATGTAGTCCTTTTTTATAGTGGGATAATAGACTTAGAGCCTGTCTAAGTCTATTAGACTTTTACATTTTTGTGGAGATTTTCTTTTTTTGTTTGTTTCATTTCTGAATGACAGTGGGCCCTAAGGACCAGGCCTTAAAACCTCTGATTTAATATAAGTGAGCCAAATAACTACTTGCAGCTCTGCAGCTGCAGGTTGCCATATCTGACAATATGGGTAACAACATAACCTTTGTTTTAAAATGACTGCTGAAGTAAAACTGTAAAGGTTAAAGATTAAACTGGTCCATGAGACCAGTGATTTATGATTTCTATGTCAGCATATGTCATAAGAACCTGATTTTTTTATTTTTTTTATCTCTTCAGAACAGTGACTACAAAAGGGGTCAGGAGTCAGAGCCATGGAGACGGAGTTTTGACATCCCCTCTGGGACAATTTCAAAGAGCAACGGCGACACACAGAGCTTCCATAGTTGGAGGAAAGTTAGCTGCAACTTTAGAATTGCTAAAAACATTAGCAGAGGATGTCTGTTGTACATTGGTGCATCTATAGTGTTGGGTTTGGTAAAGGCATGTGGTTTAAAGAAATAATGGTTTACATCACCTCCTCAGTGATTAACCCACTAAGTGTGTTTTCCCCCTTAAATTTGAGCAATTTTGATAACTTTAACTGGCTTTTAAAACTAAGATTATGCTATACAATTATATAACTGCATATAGCAAATGTAAATACATTAGTATCTTTAAGACTACATCCACTTAGACTTAACACTCATTATGTTAGTAGATAAAGACATTCCTCCATCAAGCAAAGAAGGAATATAAATATAATGCATTTTTTTGAGTCTTCCATTTTCTTTTCTCCTTCAATTCAGAGAACCAACAGCTATCCTACAGACGACATCTATTTAGCAAAGTTTGGTCCCGATTAATACAGGTACACAGAGGTTAGGTGCAGAATGAAGAGAACAACAACTAGTTGAGCTGCTTCTTCTCTAATAGGCAAGACCAAAACCTCCTTACGGCAGATGAAGACCTTAATAGATCTACCGATCCTCCACCATGGATTCTTAAACACACGTTCCTGATGGAGATACTGATCCTTTAGCCTGGGGAAGCACATCCAACATGATGGCTTGACGATATCAACACAACAACATCATCTGCAAACCCATAGAAACAAACACACTTTTTCCTTTTAAAGACAAAACAAAAGCCTTGTATGTGAATGGAAAAAGGAGGCAGTCAACCTGCAAAGTGACTGATTTCTACCTTATTTAGATACGAGATGGCCTGTAAATGCAACTCCAGCCCTATTCTGGCATTGTATCTATGGGGATATGGTTGAGTAGTTATGGTCAAACGTTGAGCTGAACCCCCACAAGTGTTCAAAAACATTTTAGAACCAATAAAAAGTCCCTTACTGAGAGTTGCCCAGACATTATTTCACCCAAATTAAGCATGAAAAAGTATTTAGGATAGAAATGCTATTTGATCCATTAGCATCCTGTGTGATCTGATCGAGAAGCCATCTAAAGAAAAACGGGGATCAATTATTTAGCTTGAACTAATTCAACGCTGATGTGCAGCTGGAAGACCTGAATAAGGCCAGATTGTTGGGAGTCAAATTTTAACAGGAGGGTCTGATTGTGCTCCACATGAATGAAGCTGTAACTTTCCCTCTTTTATTAGGAATTATGTAACTTTATTTGCTCCAGGACAGCAGAGCACTGTTAGTGTTCTCATTACTGGCAGGCAGAAGAAACAAGATTCCAATAAGAAAAAACATAACTAATCATGGGACAAAATATAAATGAGCCAAGATTTTTATCAGAGCTGAACTAATGTTTTGTGCGGCTAAACATTGGAGTCCTCAGACATATGACCTGATTCCAGAGGGAAGACTGTGCGGTTAAAGAAGAATTTTAAAATGTTTTTGAAATTAGATTTTGTATTGCATCACATGTTGTGCCAAATTATACAAACCTTTTCCAGCCCTGTTTTTTTTTCTTTAACAATTTTACTTTCACAGACCCATTATTCTAAGTATAAAGACTCATTGATAGTAGAAGGAGAATAACATGTCTCCAAATGTCGAGCAGGAGCTGTTATATATAAATATAAAGGTTATATAAAGGTTATATAAAGGTTTCATTATGAAAATCAACCATTTCCAGATACCTAGAAGTAAATATTTGGCCATTCTGATTGGTGCTCTATGTGGAAATCGTTCTATGATTGAGACTCCTTTTCTCATACTGTCTGATTCTTCTGATATTATTCCAATTTTCTTTTAATCTTTTTAAGGTGGTCTTAGTCAACAGTTCTTAATCATTTCTGAAGGTCATTCAGAGTTTTCTCCTTAGGAATTTGGACTTTTTCCACTTGATTTCAGTCCAGTCTTGTGTCTGGTCTTATCAGCACAAAATGCAGTGTGTGCTGAAAGAAAGTAGGAATCCAAACAAATGGAGGTAAAGATTGAGGGTTTCAGGAGAAAAAAACAAAAACAACTATGAAAGTACTTGCACAAGCCAAAGAGATTACATAGTTTGTATGTGTTTATTCCACCGGAGGTAGGGTTGGGCAATTGGGCTTAAAAATCTCCAATTATTTCCTATGAAATCAGATTAATCAGCTTTTCTTCCTCAAATAGATTTCATAAAAACAATGGCTTTCAAAATATAACTGTGCTTTTAATTATCCTCTACACTTGCTAATCATATTTGTAAAATAATCATCTCACACAACAAACCATAAAAATATAACAATAAGTGTTAGCAGCAGATGTTATCACAAAGTGAGCTAGTTTCATCACAAACAGTGATGAACTGATGTCACTGAGCTGTGGAAGTTTAAATCTTCATGAACTATAAAAATCCTATAGCAAGCCCTAATTGCAGTATTACCTTGACTTTGATTTAACCAAGTTGTAAAAAAAAATATAAATTTTGCATTTAAGATAAAAAAAAACATTTTCATCTGTCGATATATGTTCTTTCCAGAACTTAAGTGGAAAAGAGTCAGTTTCACCTGGTTTCTGTCCTTAAAAATCATCTTTAAGGAACCTTCTTCTATCCAATTATAAATTGATTAATCGAAAACATAATCAACAGATTGATCGATTACCTAAACAACCATTAGTTGTAGCTAGTATCGGGACATCCCTACGTTAGAAAAAGCTTCCTAAAGTGATAATAGTCAAACTTTGAACAACAGTCAACTAAATATGTTAGTTATAGACCAATAGATGGTTGGTTGGGACATCAGTATCAGATGATATCAGAATGAGACCTCTATTAAAAAATGGTTTATATCAGCTAGACAGCTATTACAACACATCGGTTCTTGATTTTTACTTATGAACGTAATTTTGTAAATCTATTTCTTAGTTTCTGTCTTCAGTCAAATGCTCCATGAACAGGTTGATCTGGATTATCTCACAAAAAAAGCATAGCAGCATATTTCTTGATCTCTAAAACCCACCCAGCTCTGCTCTCTGTAACACAAACACTGACTGAGGCGTGGATCCAAACATGCAGAAATCATCTGTTCAGTCAAACAATCACACCTTAAACCTGCTGCTCCCTTCACACATTCCATAAACACTTTATTCAAACTGAGCTGGAACAATAAACATCTGCAGGTTGGAAAACGACAGCATGGAGAAGGGAGGCAAGAAAGAGGAGGAGGAGGGAGAAGGTGGTGGTGAGGAGAAGCATGTGTTCTAGCAGGGGCCCTTCATAAAGGCCATAAATCTCAACAGAGTACAGCTTCGGCTCA